TGACACTTTGGAAAATGTCCGGGCCATGACCAAACATTCCGATGACTTCGGCGTGGCAGATGTCATTCTTGCGAGAGCCGAATTCGGCAGTGACGATTGGCCAGCACGCCACGACTTCAGCCATCAAGGTACACAGAAAAAAACACCCTGATGGCCGGTACGCTATTTCTCAAATCAACCATCTACCCCAATTTCCCCATCAGCCTGGCTCGTGTCATTGTGTTTATTCCTTTGAGCCGCGCGTAACAGCTTCTTACAGCCTGTTAAACCTCCCACTGATACTCTCCCGCTGAGCCGCAGTCAGTTTGGCCCTGCTAGACCACAAAGATACCCCGCATCAGAATCGCATCTTCTACCCGAGATTTCCGTCGCAGAATACCACGTTGTGGTTCAACGCCCTATCGCGTGCTCCGAGAATCATTCGATAGCTGCTGCATCGGATCGTTTGCTGCAGGCGCTGGAAAATGGCAGAGACGTTCGCCCACACTTTGCAACTCGCTGTGCGGCAGATAGCGGCAGACACCGCAACATCAAGCGAGTCTTCTGAGCCTGAAGCCGTTGCTCAATGCAGCACCGGCAACGAGTTCGACGGGAGGTTGGGCCTCAGGATATCAGCCATCTTTGTCATTTTGATCGGCTCAACGCTCGGTGAGTGATCCGTCCAACATCAAGGACTACCACTAACATATCTAGGTGCCTGGTTCCCGGTCTATGCTCGCCGGCATGCTGGACTCGGAGTACCTGAGTGGGCTTTCTTCACTGTAAAATACTTCGGTTCCGGAATTATCCTTGCAACGGCGTTCATACACGTGAGTGGCTCTGCTTACCTTCTCAACGTCGGACAATATCTTTGCGCGATGACACCCTCCCCAAAATCCTTGCTTCTTGCGGTCAGAGCAGACTGACATGTCCCAGCTACTCGCTCCTGCTCACGAGGCCCTGAGCAACGAATGTCTGACCGGACCAATTACTGAATATCCATGGGTGGAAGGCATTTCCCTGATGACCATCTTCGTTCTGTTCTTCCTCGAGCTCATGACGATGCGGTACGGGCACTTCGGTGGTGGCCACGATGACGCGGAACGAGCGAGAGTCAGCAGCCATAGCCCCAGCCATAGCCACAGCCACAGTGCTGGTCACAACCACGGCGTTAGCAGTTCATCCGATCTCGAGATGTCTGGCAGAAAGAAGAACTACAGCTCGTCCGGCCGCACACCCAGCACCAGCCACGCACCAGGCGAGGACCACCTCGGCCACGCCCGCGAGCACACCGACAACGAAGACATCCGCCCTGACTGGGAAGAAACCGGCCTCGTGCCCGAGACGTTCGTCGCGCAGATGACGGCCATCTTCATCCTCGAGTTCGGCGTCATCTTCCACTCCGTCTTCATCGGCCTTACTCTCGCCGTCGCGGGCGAGGAGTTCATCACGCTGTACATTGTCCTGGTCTTCCATCAAACCTTCGAGGGCCTCGGCCTCGGTTCGCGTCTGAGCGCTGTCCCCTGGCCCAAGTCGAAGAAGTGGACGCCGTATCTGCTTGCGGGCGCGTATGGCATCTCGACGCCTATTGCGATCGCGGTCGGATTGGGAGTCAGGACGTCGTATCCTCCAGGCTCAGCGACAACCCTGATTGTGAACGGCGTGTTTGACTCGATCAGTGCGGGCATTTTGATCTACACGGGCTTGGTGGAGTTGATGGCGCATGAGTTCATGTTTAGCTCGTACATGAATAAGGCGCCGATAAGGACGGTGCTGGGCGCTTTTGGGTGGATGTGTCTTGGAGCCGGTGAGTCCTCCCTTCGTACACTGAATGTGTACCATGAGCCTTGGCTGACTGCTTTCAGGACTGATGGCTCTGCTCGGGAGATGGGCTTGATGAATGTCGGTCCCGAAAAGCACTTTCTTTTTGTAACTATAGCGCATGCTGCTCCAGTAATTGGCAGCGGCGGGTTTTCTGGCTTAGCGTTTATGACTTGGGCATGCATGGTTGTTGGAGGCACGGCTTGTTTCCTATAACATACATAGATGCTTCTTCTCGTCTCGAGTAGGGAACTGACCGTCTCTATCTCCAAGAAATGAACACATCACACTGAAACATCAAGCCCGAGGTTGAATGTCCAGTGCAACCAACGGTCGTCATGTGATCCCCACGCGGCATCCCGGAATCTTGAATCTCGCCGCCCCCGTCGGCGCGCGATCCTTCGCCCGGAGATAAGCCATGGATCCCGGGGATTAGACATCCACGGATGACGGAGTTTGGAGGTTGGTAAACGGCGCACGAAAAGTCCGGCACGCAAGGAAAATGTACGACGCAATCATGCAGTGTATATATGATCCAGCTGCTGCCGCCGAAATGGCAGCTTCATGACATTCTCCTCTAATCTACTATAATACATAACTACCAATTGACCTACAACTACCCATAAAATCTCCCCATCACCCACACCAACACCCACCGCACGACTCACCCGCACCTATCGACCACCCACCATGTCCGCCGCCAGCCCCTCCGTCCTCCTCGGCTTCCTCTACAGCCAATTCTTCGTCAAGCCCCCTACCCCACCCACTCCTGGGCCGGCAAAACGGTCATCGTAACCGGCTCGAATGTCGGCCTCGGACTAGAAGCCGCACGGCACTTTGCACGTCTGGGCGCGCAAAAGTGATCCTCGGCGTGCGCAACCTGGAAAAAGGCGAAACGGCGCGGAAATCGATCATCGAGACCACGGGGTGCAGCGACGAGACAGTCGAGGTGTGGCAGCTGGACCTCAGCACGTACGACAGCGTCAAGGCGTTCGCGAAACGCGTCGAGGGACTCCAGAGGCTCGATGCGATTGTCGAGAACGCGGGCATCGCGACGGATAGGTTCGTCGCTGCTGAGAGCGGGGAGGAAATGACGATTGCGACGAATGTGATCGCGACCTTCCTGCTCGCGTTGCTGGTCCTCCCGAAGCTAAAGGAGACGGCACACCGCTTCAACACACGGCCGCACCTCGTCATTGTTAGTAGCGAGGTGCACTTCCTCACGGACTTCCCCGAACGCAAGGCCGTCGGGCCCTCCGAAAACCTCCTCGCCAGCCTAAGCGACAAGAGCAAAGCCCGCATGCACGACCGCTACAACGTCTCCAAGCTCCTCGAAGTCCTCGCCTGCCGCCAAATCGTCGAAGACCACATGCGCCCCGGCTACCCGGTGATCCTGAACTTCGTGAACCCAGGCCTCTGCCACTCGGAGCTGGGGCGCGAGATGGGGTTCGGGTTTTACCTGTTCAAGCTTGCGGTGGCGAGGACGACGGAGGTGGGGAGTCGCACGCTGGTGCATGCGGCGAGTGCGGGGGAGGAGAGCCATGGGCAGTATCTTAGTGATGCGAGGGTTAGTGAGCCGGCGGATCTTGTTAAGAGTGAGGAGGGGAGGGAGGTGCAGAAGAGGGTGTGGAGGGAGTTGAGTGAGCGGTTGGAGCAGATCCAGCCGGGGATTATGGGGAATTTCTAGAAGGTGGTGGTAGACAGAGTGGGCTTCTTAGATGGGGTGGTTGCAGGTGTAGACACAGCCAGGTCGCCGGTTATTTTAGAGGTTGAGTTTTGTTAGGGTTTGGTGAGCCTCGGAGAGCTTCGCACTGCCCAAAGTCTTGATTTAAATGGTCAGTCAGTTAGATATGCAGATACCGTCTCGCTGTTAAACAAAATGTTCTTCTTTCTTCTCCTACAGCCGCTACTACTGCTAAGGTAGATTTGCCATGCTTGATAAGAGCCAGTCCGCTCTTAAGCGTCTATCGGCTGCATGGACTTCTTCTGAAGCGAGTAGAAGAGGCACGAAGAAGAGGATAGCTGGATGCGATCATGATAGAGCTGTATGGTCCGGGCTATTATCTATATTCGAAACCGTGGAGAGTCGTGGCGAAGTACTTCTCCAAGATCCATGTTCGGCCTGAGGTTATTTGGCATACAACCCCTTGCCCTTTGTCCATTGATGAGCAGGCGGGCTGGATACGTTGCTATCTATTCTTTGTATCCTCTTCCATGGTAAACATAACATTCTCACGCTCCTGAGGTAGCTAAATCCATCATGGGTTTGGACTCTCATACTAGTTCCACCTGCCTTATAAGTCCTAGGAGACGACCTGGGCATCGTGGTAACGGCTGTCGTGCTGAGACTGCGGCCAGTGATGTGGCTGGTGATGTGAATGCTGACCGCAGGCCTCAAAACCCAGTGCAGGCCTCAAAATTCGCTATCCCATTGGTCGTGATGATTCGCAGTAGCCGGTGCGCGGAAATCTTACATACATCCAAACCCGATTAGTGACATTGGATATGGGTCTATAGAGGTGACTTGAACTTCGCTTTCGAAGACGTTATAGCCTATAGCTATATGAAAGCTTGAAACGCCATTTTGAGCTTCTACTATTGCGTTTCAGATGAAGGTGTTTGAGGCCTGAGCTACCGCTTAGTGTTGTTACTCTTACTCTAGATTCTAACTGTTCGATTGGCTTGGAAGCTTTGGGTAACGGCTACTATGTATACTAAAAATCCGGGTTCAGAGATAGGAGTCCACGGTGAAGAAGGATGCCCGTGCTTTCTCAGCGCTTGTGTAGTCCTCATCGCGCGCAAGAGATTTTTAATAGAACAGGCCTAAAATCTACTACTGTCACGAGCGAGGGCTTAACCAGGTGGTGCTTGATGAATTGACTACCAAGATATCTAACAAGACGAGGCACGAGAACTAGAAGGTCTGCGAGCTGCGATCGAGGAGAACTAACAGCATGGAGCACGTGACGAAGCGGAATATCGGTTAAGCCGAGCTTCGGAAACACTAACGCCAAACTGTAGCAGCTATAAGCCTTAGGCTCTGCTATAAGCCTTATAATCGATTACAAGCCTCAAAATCCATTGCAGGCCTCAAAGATCGTTGCAGGCCTCGAGTTCTGTGACAGGCTTCCATTACTTGCTGCTAGCCTCCAAAAATTCTGCAATATATATTTTTTGCAAGAACTGAAATTTCATTCCGAGGCTCAATGGTCTAGTGGTATGATTCCTGCTTTGGGTTACAGCGTGCAGGAGGCCCCGCGTTCGAATCGCGGTTGAGCCCATGACGTCATCGTCTTTTTGCAATTTTTATCCTTCTATTTGACCTTTTTTTAGATCTTAGGCGGGCCGTTTCAGGCTTCAGGCGGAGGGCGGAAGGTTGGAGGGTTTCCCTGTGACGTGAGGGTAGATCACGTGCTCTGGGCATTGCTAGTAGTATCCTAGGAGGCTTATGAAAATCCGATAAGGTAAGCTCAAGCGTTTCCCTGCGGCGGAAGTGATCTTGCAGTGAAGCCTGAAATGCTTCATCAAGAAATGAGGCCTGCTATCCGCGGACAATCAAGGATGAAGTCACTCATTCAAGTGACCGGTCGTATTAGACTTCTTGAGAGGCCGATCAGAGTGCATTTGACTCTGCCATAGCACTAGCATACAGGATGTTCCTACTAGAGCACAGCCCATTCAACTCAAAGCATAAGAATGACATCGCTCTCATTCGCCCAAACCCACAGCGTTACCCACGCATCATCTGCTTTGAGACTTATACAACCCCCTCACGCAGGCAGCGCCTCCTTACCCACAGCCGGCACCTCATCCTCATACTCCCACTCCTCATCTTCCCCCCACCCCTCCCCGTCAAACTCCTCCACACTCTCTCCCACAAGCCCCTCTTATGCACCATCGCCAGCACAAGCACAATAGGCAAATGCCACACGCTCGCCCAAAACAAGCCCCTCGCACTCCCCTTGAGGCCCTCATACCTCCAAAACCTCCACGCCTGCCACGTCATCCACCCATTCACCGCCGCACTCGTAACCACAAACCCATAGTCCGTGACGCCCGCGACCGCTAGCCCGACACACACGGGAAACATCAGCAGCGAGTACCTCAACGCGACCCTCCCGTTCCTAGCCGGGTTCGTCCACGCTAGCATCCGGTACCCGGCATATTTGTACTCGTCCCTAATCGTCCAGCTCAGCGCGTTGAAGTGCGGGAACTGCCACGCGAAGAGCAGGGCAGCGAGGAGCCAGCCCCCGCGCTGCCCTCTCCGAACAACAGCTCCCGCCATCCGGCGTCGTGGGAGGCGCACTGGCCCGCTGCGGCTGCCCAGCCCATTAAAGGTGGGATCCCGCCCACCACTGCACCGACCCACGTGTTGAGCACGTGGACACGCTTCAGGGGCGTGTAACACCCGGCGTAGAGGGCGATGTTGAGAGCGCCTAGGAAGGCGGTCGTAGGGTTGACGCCTACATACAGCCCTGCTGTGCCCAGCGCACCGGTGACGAGCGCGAAGAGCAGCGCACCCCGCTTCGAGATCAGACCCCGGACCAGCGGCCGGTTCCGCGTGCGCGACATCTTGGCGTCGTGCGCGGGCTCGAGGAGCATGTTGAGGGCGTTTGCGGAAGCGGAGCAGAGCGCTGTGCCCGTGGTGAGGAAGAGGAGCGTCAGAGTGCTGAGGGAGGGGGTGTCGGTTAGCGCGGGGAGAGGAGCGCGGGGACTGGGTAGAGGCTGTATGCTGCGGTGGTGGTGAGGACGACGAGGAAGGTGAGGCGGGGTTTGCTGAGGGAGAGGTAGGTCGTTATGAGGCGCCGGAGGGAGTGCGTGGGGAGGGTTTGGGAGAGGGTGGAGAGCTGGGAGGAGGCGTCGAGGGGGATCGTAGGTTCGGATTCTGGTTGGGGCTCGGAGAGGCGTGCTTCTTCTCGTAGACGCTTGCGCCGGCGGTGGGGGAGCTCTTCTTTCAGCAGGCTTGGGGTGGTCGCGGTGGTCGAGGTGGTGACGCGCTCTGCTGGTGTATCTGCCGTTTGCTGTATCGCAGGGCTCGCTTCTATGCTGCCATCCTGTCCCGCTGAGGCAGAACTACTCCACACGCCCCTCTTAGCGCCTGAGAGCACCTCTTCCAGTATGCCATTGCCCCAGAAATACTCTTTCTTGAAGGCACTTCGCGGGTGCCGCACCGTTGCTACCGCGTCTTTGACGGGGGCGGTGGATGATAAGGTTCGCCGCGATGGGGGTGCCGCACGCGACAACCTTTGCAGACACCGTAGACATATGGTATGTGCATCTCGGAGAGGCGCCGGCTGGAGGAGTCGAGGTCGAACGAGCATTGTTTGATTGCTGTTGTCGCGACGCCTCTCCGGTCCTGTGGTGATTCAAAGATGCATGGATTGATGCCAGAGGCTGATCTAATCTAATCTCAATCACAATTGCGTGCCTGAGGTTCTTGGAGCACGAATATTCTCAACAACGGACCAGCTCCAGCATTCGCATGGCTATTCATGAGATCACACATTGATTCTCCGCATGTCAATTAATCCAGACTATGTATGATACAACGCTAGCAAGTCTACGGAAGCCCCTTGCTTAACCCCAGCTGAGCCACCACGGGTAACCATGATACGCTCCATTCAATGCAGGTGCGGTTGGTAGTTGGTAGTAATTCACAAAGAAGAATGAACCAGCCGATGGTCGTACACTATTACTCTTCCCGCTCCTCGTCCGAAAAGTACTCAAAGTCGCGAGGCACTTCCGCCTCCTCCCCACCTTCCTCATCCTCGTCCACTGCGTTTAGCACGGCGGCGGCTTCTGATGCACCTGTGCCCTGCGCAAGGGCTGAGATCGCATCGCTCATCGTCTCTGGAACTGCTTGGCCTTGGCCTTGGCCTTGGGCGCCTGGCGCTGGTGCGGGTGCGACTTTCTTGACCTTTAACTCGAGCAGAGACTTAGGCTCATCTGGCTGTTGGTCGATGAGGAGTATGACACCGCCAGTGGGCTAGGTAGTTTGAGTCAGCGTTAAACAATTCATAAGAAACAATGACGATAGACGTACCTTCTTAATAGGCACGTAACGCTCGCCCGGGAAGCTGATGTACTTGAGCTGCGCAGGGAGGACTCTCGACATATTCTCCAAGTCATACCCGACCTTCTCCTTCTCCACCTTCTTCTTCGTCGAGTCAGCGGCTGGTGTATCCTCTTTCTCGCCATCCTGCTTCTCAGGCTTGGTCTTGATGATATCTTCGTCGGTCTCCATCTTATCCTCGTCGGCTGTGGAGACCTTTGGAGTTGTTGGCGTCTGGTCAATGTCCATACTCTCACGCCTTGCCTGTCGTTCCTTCGCCTGCTTTCTTCGCTTGGCTTGTGCAGTCGTAGACAACACCGCAGTCTTGATCTTCTCCGGCGCCTCTTCGGTCTTTGTTTCTTGCTCCGGCGGATAGTCGAACATGCTGGGCCTGGTGTTGCTATGGAACTTGAAGCTCGGGATCTCCAGGTCTTGGTCAACACCGATGATGGCGGTCGGCGTGAAGCTCAGCGACAGGAAGTGGGTGAGAGGGAACCAGTACCAGTACTGCGTGAAGACAGCCATGCCCACTATCGCGGTCATGTTGAGGTTGCCCGTCTGAGTTTGCAAGCCGATTGTGCAGTTTCGACCACCTGCGTCGATGATGCCCAAAGCAAGAGCGCAGCCGAACTTGGCCATCGCATCCTCGTGCCGATCGCCAATGATCTTCTGCAGAGTCTTGCGGATCGTCCCCACCTTCGGGTTCATGGCCTCGTTTTGCTGCACCATGATCATGGACAGAGAAATGAGGGCGCCCTGTCGGACGAAGTCGACCGAGTCTTTCATCATTGGCTCCAGAAGATCAATAGCTTCGTCGAGACCAGTGCCAGCACATGCTATGCCGAGCGCCATTGTCGCACCGTACCGCACGTGGGGATTGTAGGATTCTGAAAGCAGCTCAACCATACGAGGTACGCTTCCGGGCTTCCTAAACAGCACGAAACCCAAGCTCATGACAGCACAGCGTCGGACATCGTCACTGACATCGCTGACGGCAACGTGTAGCAGTTTGCGCACGGCCTTGTTGCTTCCAGTACCGCAGTAGGCCAGTGCGATAGTCATGATACCGCCATATCGCAAGGACGGATCCGGGTCCTCCAGCAAGCCATTGATAAGCTCATCGGCGGCTTCTTGACGGGCATACATGATGAGTGCCATGCCCATCGCAAGGCCTCGCACAATCTTCTCGTGCTGGGTATCATGCGCGTACGTGATCATGTCCTCGAGCGCTTGTATGTCGCCAGTGCCCAGCATGACAAGACCCATCGCCAGACCGACAGCATCGCCGTGAATGGCGGAGTCTTGATACAGAGTCTCCTGTAGCTTCTTGTAGAGAGCGCTATCGCCTGTTGCCATACCAGCCAGTCCGAGACCAAGAGCTGCACCATGGACGATAGTCTCGTCGGTCGCTCTGGTAAACTCCTCTTGCAGGAAGCTCAGAACTTCCGCTCCATGGTTGGTGTAGATCAGCCCAAGCGCATACAGTGACCCGCCCTGGCTGTAAACTGATCCGGCAACGTCGCCGCGCTTCGGCAGATACGGTTCGAGGAGCTTCTGGCCTTGCCCAATGTTGCCCCTGTGTATCACGCCCAACGCCGCAGTTGCTGTAAACTTCGACCAGTTGACCGCCTTTCCTAGCCACTCAAGGTTCTCTCGGAAGAAGTTGTCATTCATGGTACCGGAGTTCATGAAGGCGTTGGCAAAGGTTACGCCGCTGTGGAAGATGGAGTTCCGGGCTTCCAAGCTATCCCGGATCCTGTTCAGAATCTGCTTGTCGGCGTGGTTGTTTCGGAACAGGAATTCCAGGTTCAGCTCGATATGCTTTGTGCCGCGGAGGATCTCGCGTATGGAGGTGTAGGCCTTCTTCTCCTCTTCACTCATCTCCCGTTGTTTTGTTCGAGACACCACTGTCGCTTTGTGACCATTGATGTTCTCCGAGGGCTCGTCCAGTAGCCGGTCCGTCTCTTTCGCATCCTCAGCTGGCGCTGGGTGCACGACGTTCCCATTAGCAGCAGGTTTCTCTTCTTGCGCCTCCTGCTTCTCCTCTGTCTCCGGCAGCTCGTTGATCACCTTCGCCAAGAACTCCTGCGTGCTGTTGTCATAGAGATCGAAGGAAATCTGGTAGGCAGTGGCGAGGGATCGGGCATCCCCACGCTCCACAAGGTGGCGTAACATGTTGGAAGCCATCGAGTGCTGGTTGAGATAGACAACGCATTTCGCGATTGAGA